AGTACTTGCTGGCTCGATCAATATATCTCGTTTTCAATGTGTTAAAAATGTTAAAACCTCCTTTTCAGCCGCGATTCCAAGGCAGGAGAGGAAGACCGCGATCAGTCACTCCTTCCCTGCGTTGCGATGGTTTTAATGAATCCTTGCTCCATTACTTTAACTAAATGCCGATTTCGAGAAGGTAAATTCTTTCGACTTAAAATCTAAATTGGCAACTCGAAGACCCTTTTTCGGGGGGGGGGGGGGGTTGTAAACTCCGCTTAATCGCATTATTAAGCTATTATCGGTCAAGGCAATTTTGTCTTTGCATCATTAATGGCCGAAACATTGTGTTTGTGGACAGAGACAAGAAAAGTCGAAAAGCAGACTGATGGATAAAGGTCGGAGATGGAGGAAAGAATACGTTTTCTCGACCGACGCGGCTCTTGTTCCGGACAGAATGCAAAATTCGGAAGAGAGAAAGAGTTACTGAAAGAGTGCGAGTGGGAAAAAAGAAAGAACTTTGGTAAATTTATCGATTTACTTTGATAATGAAAGGTAGATTGGATAGGATATCGAAAGCGATCAAGCAAGAGAGAGAGAGAGAGAGAGAGAGAGAGAGAGAGAGAGAGAGAGAGAGAGAGAGAGAGAGAGAGAGAGAGAGAGAGAGAGAGAGAGAGAGAGAGAGAGAGAGAGAGGAGGGAGGAAGGGAGAGAGTATAAATTAAATTCAGTACGAAGGGGAGACTCGGGAGGGGAAGAGGGGAGAATTGGAAAGGGGAAAGAGAGAGAGAAGAGGGGGAGAAGATAAAGAGAGTGAGGGGAGGGACAAGGGAGCCGGAATAGCATACACAACGGAGGGGGAACACAGGGGAGAGAATGATACGAGAAAAATACAGAAAACGCATGCGCACCAACTGGTACAGAACCGTCTGTTTTCCTTATTTTCATTTTTTTTTTCAGGCCAACGGAAGGGTTGAAATATAGCAAATTGGGGTCTGTAAAATTAGTCAAAGAATTAGGTGATGTGGCAAAGAAAATACAACAGGTTCAAATAAATAACAAGTAGTAATATGTATTCAGCAATTCAGCATTCAAAAGAAGCTTAAACAGCTAATAAAAAAAGGAACAAACACCAGCACCTAGTTTCAGACAGACACGCACACAGACCTTTAGGCACATAACTACCCATGCCTTAGTGTATGGGACGCCTAAAGGGTACAGCCAAGGAATACAGTCAAAAGGTACAACCAAATGTCATAGTCAGAGGTACATTCTAGAGGTTTATTCATGAGTTCAGTCATATGTTATAGCCAAGCACACTCCTAGATAGAGTCGAGGGGGTACAGCCATGGGGTACATATATTCGGTAATGCTCCAGGGTATAGTCCTAGAGTACAGCCCAAGGGTCCAGCCGTAGGTTCATTGCACCTCCAGACTGACTGACTATTGATCGTCTGTTGACAAGACGCACGTGACGAAAGATATGGAGATGTGGCAACGGCGGTCGCACCTCCCCGACGACGACGCGCGAGATGTGGCACCATGGCAAACACAAGATTCCCGTCTAATTGTCTCGTCTGAAGTCTTGGGGTGACCTTAAGGCGTGACCTTATCTCTCTCTTTCTCTTTTCTTTCTCTCTGTCATTTACTAACTCATTAACTGCCTATGTCATAGTTCTTCCTCTTGCTCTTTCCTTTCGTTTTCTATGTCTGTCTCTGTCTTTCTCTCTGTGTCGCTTTCTCTGTGTCGCTTCTCTCTGTCTTCTCTCTCTCTCTCTCTCTCTCTCTCTCTCTCTCTCTCTCTCTCTCTCTCTCTCTCTCTCTCTCTCTCTCTCTCTCTCTCTCTCTCTCTTCTCTCAGCAATTGATTTCAGTTTCATTTAGATCCATTTTTGTCTTTCTTTGTGGCATTGTCTTTGAGCTTCTCCCTTTCCACCCTTCTCGCTTTACTCCCCCTCGCCCTGCTCCCCCTTCCTCTCCGCCTCATCCCCTTCCTTCCTGCAACCGAGCGCGTCTCTTCCTCCCCTTCTTCCCTAATCTCCTCCCATTCTCTTTTTCCCTATTCCCTTTACATCTTTCTCCCCTTCCTCCCCCTCTTTCACATTTCCCCGTTTTCCCCTCTCTTCCATTTACCTTTCTTATTCCCCCCCCCCCCTTCCTCCCTCCTCCTTCTCTCCTGCTCGCCTCTCCCTCCCCCTCCTGCCCCCATCCCCTCCTCTCCTATCCCACCCGCCTCCCCTACCCCCCCCCTCCTCTCCTCTCTCGCTCGCCTCCCTTGCCCCCCTCCCCTCCTCTCCTCTCCCGCCCGCCTCCCCTCCCCCCCCCTCCTCTCCTCTCTCGCTCGCCTCCCTTGCCCCCTCCCCTCCTCTCCTCTTCCTTACACGCAAGGTCACACCAACGCCACGGGAGAGGTCCATGCACTCTTTAAATACTTTTTCTCCCCTTTTCTCTTTTACTGCTTCTCGTTGTGTTTGCATTGCTCAAATACGCGCATATTGAGCGTGGTCTTAATATTGAAAA